GTGCGGTGCCCGCGGCTCGGCTGGGCTGCTTGGCCAGCTGCCGTACAGAGCGCTCCCCGCGCCGACCCCGGGCACACGCCGCCCTCGGCAGAAGGGAAATCGGCCCCTGGCCCGCTCCTCAGCCCGATGCAAATGAAGCGGAGTAAATAATGGGCGGGGAAGGGACCCTAGTGAATGGCGGGGGCTCTAATGCCACCAGATGCGACTGGCTTTTCCCCGGGAACAGGCTCCGGCCATGGCCAACGGTTCTGGCGGGGGTGAGCTTAGTGGTCTCCTAAAATAATCCCATCCTTGTGCATTGCTGGGCACTGCTAGTCAGTCACTAACGGGGTGGCTTGGCCCTGCTCCTAGTGCCATTCTGCCGCTGTTCTCAAAGTCCCCTTTGTTCTGTCCAAGGGCTGTTTCCTTTTAGCGGCGGAACATGGCAAGATTATATATCTATTTTGCAGGGAGCTTTGGCAGGTTTCTCCAGGGAGAGGTTACTTGTCAAATTGTTGCACTTGGTACGCAGGTTCATATCAGGGACAGAACAGATTGGGATAATGCAGACGTTAGCAAAGGTTACTTGGCATATTCATTTATAGCCTAGATCAGCCTTTCTCAAACTGTGGGTCCCGACCCCCCAGGGGTCGCGAGCAACTTAGAGGGGTATCGCAAACAAATTAGAGGGGGGTTGTGAGCAACTGAGAGGCTGGTTGCAGCAATGGAAAGGGGGGTCACAAGCAACTGAGTGGGGGGTCGAGGTATCACAAGTTTGAGAACCCCTGGCCTAAATATTAAGATCATTGTAGTACCATGATTCTTTGAATCCCACTTAAGCTTATTGGGAAATCAGTCTTTTTTCCCATATCCACTTCAACCATTGCATCTTGTACAATTAAAAACAACTTTTGACATTTTGATTAAGTTACAATATTGCTTTAGCTGAATATGGCATAAACCTACAGAAATTTGCAACTTCTGGTTGCTGATCCATGTGATACATCAACAGATACATCTTTTAGCTATATCTGTGGCACAGGGCATGCTGGTGTGTAGGTCCCATAAATATTTACATTACAGTTAATTAATTATCTTTGTTTCTTTAGTGGTGTTCAAGATGGAGAGTAATTTGAGGATTATTTTACCTGTGGTGTCTGTTTTTTAAAAATATGATTAAGTGTTTGTCTAACTTGTGTTGAGGACATGACACCTAATAAAGTTTACTTTACAAAGAGCTATTTAAAGAAAATTCAGAAGAGGCTGCATTGGAATTTTTATTTAAATAGTAGGAAAGGGTGCATTTAAGAATCAGCTTATTCAGCTGGATAACGGAGAGAAACTTTGTTTAGAGGCCCTGGTCTGGCAAAGCACTTAAGGTCCATGTTTAAATACTAGCATGTAAATACAGGCATGTAAATACAATCAAAATCAAAACTATTTAAAACTGCATTAATTGATTTTTTTAGTATTATTTGTTTATTCATAAACCTTTTCAAGAATGTTTACTGAATGCACAGATAATAAAGCAAAGAAAGGGTTTTCTAAAGCTAGGAGTCAGTGCTCCAGTATCACAGCTGGAGGAGATATGAACCATAGCAAGAAGGCACCTGAATGCAAACAACTGTTTGTTGGCTAGATCCTGCAAATGCAGTGGAAGGGAAAGGAAGGAAAGAGTCTTCATCCTAGCCCACATGCATTTTAAATAAACGTTATACTTTATATTCATGTCAAGAGATATTAAAATTGCTATCGGAGGTAACAAAGAAACTAGGACTTGTGTTTGTGTGTATATGTACTCACACCCCATGTGCAACCAGGAGAATGTGCATTATTTAACTACAGAATCTGGAATGATTTTTCCAGCGTGTATAGTCAGCAGTTTCGTTAAAGGTCACTGTTGAATATAAGCAATAAATAAGTATAATGTTTTATGTTTGTGCCTAGTAAATGGTGAAAAGATTTAATTGCTTGCATTTACCAGCATTTCCTGCCTGCGTGTCTTTTTTTGTGTTAATGTTATGAAAGAATATGCACAAAAAGAATAATTTTGCCCTGCATAAAGAGCAATGTTGGGAGGTAGGTTGGATCAGTCAAATCTCGGAGGGAAGTGTGTGTTGTTCTACCATCAAATCTAAATTGTTATGGGCTTGATTTACTGGATACTGTAGCAATACTATAAAGGAAATTAGTGGGTGGGAGCCAAACAGGGTTTGAGGTTGAAATGAATGATGCAATTTCTACATCTAATGTTCTTTTGGACTAACTACTGATTTTAGAATGATAATTGGTGAGTACATGCTCAGCCTGGAACAAACCATATCATTCCAGATTCTCAAATTAAAATATTAATTTTACCTGGATAGTTTATTTAAAATATGATATATAAACAGTTACACTCACATATCCAAACATATTTTTTAGAATGATATAGTCCTTTGGGAGGCTAGCTTTTCAATATTCTCTGGTTCTCTTCCCCATTCTGGGGCTGCCTTCATTCTTTTTGATATCTAACACAAAAATGATGGTGAAATACTGAGGTACCCTGGTTCTGTGGGTTGTGCTTTGAGCCAAAGATGATTTTATCTTTTCTTATTCACTTTATTTTTCTTGCAGGTATTTTCATGCTGAACTCCAAAGTCCACCACTTATAGCAGATGAAAAGCATAGGGCATGTAAAATGTTTGTGTGTACTTGATAATGTTTTATAGTCACTTTACATAGCTGTAAATTCCCAAATTATACTAAGGTGCTGGGGCACTAGCCAATCAGGCCTTTGTTGAGATCAATCGATCACGAAATCATTCTCTTATTCTTTCCACTGTCCTCCAGAGGGCAGCAATTACATTCACTTGAAGTGAAACTGGAAAAGGGGGAAAAAATGCCTGACACCATTTGTCTTAAAATTATCCTGTCAAAAGGAAGGCTGCTCACTAGTGCACTAATTTCAATGCCTTGGACAATAAACTAGCAGTGGATCTTTGAAATAGGGTAACATAAGCCAGGGCCAGATTTAGGGGCAGGTGACAGCATGGGATGCCAGACTCAGGGTGAGATGGGCTACTACTGCAATAAAAATAAGGTATTCAAAGGTTTAACAAATGGTGAGGTGGGAGGGGAGCAGGCACTGAAGCCACTCCTTGCTTGGGGTGCCATTTGGTCTTGAGCCAGCCCTGACATGAGCTGCACTATCATGGAAGAGCTGGCTTTCTACTTTCATTTCAGGAATTCTCAGTATTGCAGCTTAGGGATGTTAAATATCAGTTAATTGAATAGTTGATTAAACTCCTGAATTCTTATTGGTTACTCAACTATTCTACAGTCGCCAGGGATGACGCTGGCAGTCAGTGCACTCCGACCCCACTCCTGAGGAACCCGCTGCCACTCTGCGCTGGTGCCTCTGTACCAGAGGCAGCAGCACGAGGGGCCAGATGGGAGCTGGTCCATGAGGGGAGCCAGTATAAAAACCAGCTCCCTTGTGGACTGGCTGCCTGTTGCCCCACACTGCTGCCTCTGATACAGAGGCAACAACATGGAGTGGCAGCAGCTCCTGTCTGGGAAAATGGGGGGGTCTGAGTTCCCGGACCTGACGTGAATTGGAACTGAGCCAGGCTCCTAGCCCGCCTGGCTCCTAATACACTTTAAATGCAGAGCCGCAGCAGGGGTAGGTACCAGACACTGCACAAGGCAGGACTGAGCCAGGCTGCCTGCCCATCCAGCTTCTAATAAACTTTAGATGCTGAGCCGCAGCAGGGGTAGGCCCCAGACCCGGCGCAAACCAGGACTGAGCTGGGCTGCTGGCCAGCCTGCTAAAAAATTTACTGGCTGGGGGAAGGGACATGTGTGTAGTCTATAGCATTAACCTATAAGCTTTTGCTTATTGTTTAATCAACTACACTATTACATCCCTATTACAGATATGACAAGATTTCAACATCCGTCACATCTGAAGGTTGTCACTTGCCCACTTACCCTGGACTCCTCTCCCTCCAGCACTGGTTGTCTGTGCACATAACTTCAGCCTGGGACAGGAAAACCAGTGACTTTTGATGAAGCATTAAAATAGCAGCATAAAGAGTCTCTATGGATCATATGACAGATACTTAGAAGGGAAAAAAAAGGTGCCAGTTCTTTATGAGCCTACCTGTTTTTGTGTTAAGTGATGTAGGACAAATAAGACTTTACTGAGCTCACAGGAACAAACCCTCAGCCTGAAAGTTGACAAATTGAACAGAGATGGGATAACAGACCTTTTGCTCCTACAAAATGTATTTCATATTTTTATACATTTTTTGTCTTGCTGAATCATTTCTTGTGGGAATCTTGGTACTATTACTGTTTAATTTGCACTTACATTAGATCTTTTGTCCAAGGACCACAAAGTGATTCAAAACAGGAACTGAGCCTTGCAACAACCCATGAGGTCAGCAAGTATTATCAGTGTAGTTTTACAGATGGGTAAACTGAGGCAGAGAGCGTGTTCTAAAGTAAATCATTAGCAGAACTGGGAATAAAATGTAAGTCTCTGATAGTTACATTATCCTGACATCGGTGGAGCCAGAATGTCATTATCCTGACATCGGTGGAGCCAGAATGTCCCCCTAGGTGTCCTGATTCCCTCTTGTCCACTAGACAGTGATATACCCTCTCTTGAAACAGAATTAAATGTTACAAAAATCAGTGTTTTAATAATAGCAGTTCCCTATTGCAATGCTATAGGACAAATCCTAACTCTGCAACTCAGCAGATTCCAGAAACAGCATAATATCCCAGTCTCCATGCCCAAAGATAGGCAAATGGATTGAGAAGTGGTAGGTCTCCTTCTGCACAGTAGCCTTTGAGTTAAATAAACTCCTCCCAAGGAAAAGAATGGTGATAGGGCATCAGACTGCCCACGGTATGCACAATAATTTAGTGTTAGGGGGCTAACATGCCGATGTCTCATGCATTAATAAATCTCTCAAGGGCAGTGAGCTTCCTATCTCTTCTAGAGCGCATAGCTCTAAAAGCAAACCAGCCACTCTATCGGTCACTGCATGTGCCTGACCAGCCTCAGGATTTTAACCTCATGGGAGTAAAGATCCTTTGAAACCCTTAGGATTTGGCCTTAGATATGGGAGTAGTATTTCTCTCAGATAAAATATAGAGTGCTGGGGGATTGGACAGGCTAAGTCTATTAATCTGAAATGGCATTTATTTAATCAGGCCTAAGGTCACACATTCATTCACTCACCAGCAAGCTACTCAGAAGGAAATTATTGCTCTGAATCAGAGGCAACTGTCAACTCTAACTTTTATGTGAAGTTCCTCTGTGAAATCCAGAAGCCATTTAGAATGCCCTCACACTGACAGTTTTATCAGAGAAATCTTATTTTATTTCAGTCTCATCTTCTCCACATTAGGCACATGTGATAGGAAATATAGATGCTGCATATTCTGTGATACTACTACCAAACTACTGGTAATTTGGCAGCTGAATTTTTTGAAGTTCTCCTTGCTACCAAGTTTCTTGGGAAGGGCGATGTTTTCTGGTGCTTGATTTGTATCTCTCTGTATGTGGGTGGCAATGACAGATCTGATATTTTATTTATGTAACTATATTGTACCTCTGTTTTTACTGTCCCCAGAGCTAGGAGTTGTATATTCTCATTATTCGGTTAATGCCATTTTATATGCAATGTACAAATAACACGCCAATGCTACAAAAAGACAATATCTAAACTTGCAAGCTGCATAGTGGAATTTGTAACCCTCCACTTAAGCAACATAAATGGTTTTCAGTTTTTCCTGCTCCCCACTGAGGCGCTGGAAGTGCATGAAAAATATCCCATGATACCTTTGAGATGGCTGGTTGCAGAAAACCAAGTCTTTTGAAAATGACAATGTAGTACATTACTCCATCTGGATATCCCCGGTCATGTCTGGCCTGCAGAATGTGCCTCACCACTAAATTCATTATTGTAATGTGTCCAGACACTACACTTATGAAGACAGAATGAGGACTTACAGGGCACGTCT